AGCTTTAGAGAGCACATGCTTTAAGAACTAGAAGAAAGGGGAAAATACTTTTCTGAATATTTCAGAATTCCAGCAGATTTACAAAGTACATGACTGCAGGCTGTTGGGGGTTGGAATCTGGCAAGGGAAGTACATCATCCCATTAAAAGTATAGTTACTCTCTGTTTCTTCAGCACAGTTCAAAGTGAGCCTGCCTTCCTGCTGGATGGTCCCAACCCTGCTCAATTGGAGTGGGGGAGTCTGCCCTAGCCAGAGATTTCATCCTTCAGGGTCTTTACTGCTACCCTGTCACCTGGAACTTAACAATAGACGCACCAGGTTTCAGGGATCCAGCACCCCAGATGCCTACAACACCCTCAGTGTTCTCCACTTTATACAAAGTTTTATTTCCTTCAGCCCGTTGTGAATGTACCAGATAAAACTTGAAATATTTCTTTTCTTCTCCCATGAAGTCATAGACATTATTAGTGTTAATATCAACCTGAAAAGAAACCTAGGGAAAAAAATTTATTGAAATAAGCAAAATATCTTTCTTTTACTCTTTGGTAACTTTATTAGACTGTGAGCTTTTTTCGAGTTTTAAATTAATAGGGTATTTTGAAAATTAACCTTTCTTAAAATGATGACCAAATCTCAAAGGTTGTGCATTAAAAATGTCAGATTTTGTTGGACAGTGTGTTTTCTTTCTGCCAGGAATCTTCTCTTCCTATGTGCTTTCCTTTCTGTAACTTTCTGAGCCTCCTTTTAACATTTTGTACAGAACTTTCAATTAGTTAGCAGATCCCTCACTGAAAAGTTGCTGTGAATTTCCGGATTGAATCTGAGTCAGGACTTGGTACCTTATGGCACTCACTCAGAGAATCCCTGCTTAGAGGACTGGGCTGAGGATGTAGAGTGGATGCTGTGGGATGGGCTGATGCTGCTTTCAGCTTTCAGCAGCAGCGAGTAAAAGGGAGGATTTGGTTCTGTGTGAAAAGAAGCAGGCTCTTTGATTTCGTGGGTAGTGCTGAGGCTCTCCTGAAGAACTCCAGGCTGGACGTTTCATGCTGACATGGGTCACTGAGAGACTGGAAACCTACTGTCCAGAAACCAGTTCAAGAAAGACTAGCCCATGGCTGTGTCTGCTCCTTCCACTCGCCCGTGATTCATGATGCCCATGAACTCTAGGGGCCTTACCCAGTACATGTGCGCACATCAGCTTTCCTTCCCACCTCTGGGGCAGCGTTTGAGAATTTGTGCATGTCACTCTATCATGCTGTCTCTTATTACTAAAAAAAAAAAAAAAAAAAAAGTACTGCTGATCAGTGCTGCTTTGTATCACCATGCCTGTATCCTTATATTTCCTCTTCTTGGGTTATGAGAGTTTTATGAAATACAAAGAAGAAATCGCTCTCCTCTCTGTAGCAGCCCTGGGTAAAATTATAAGGTAGGTGACTTACTAGCTTACTAGCGTAAGTCCCATGTCTATTATATATCACCTAGTTAAAATCAGGTTCTGCATGAATTCTTAAGTTGTTCTTTAAAATAATCACTCACTGAGTTTTTTCATGTATTTATAAGGTTCTTAATCTAGGACATCATATTTCTGAGACTATATTAAATCACAGTTACAGAAATTTTATTTTATTCTTTTATCTAATCTTTTCTAATAATATAAATGAAAATTTCTGTCGTATTAACTCCCTTAAAACAAAATAATTAAGTGGCCACCTACAATTTTTCCTTTAAATAAACATCTGCTCACTGAATTATCCCTGGTTCAGCTTTTTTCCTTTTGTGTTTTGTCATAGGCATAGGACAATATTTCTTGTCATTGGGTCACCAAATCTCTGAGAATTCAGTAAAAGCTATGAACCTTTCTTTGTGGAGAAATGAATATTCACACACACACACACACACACACACACACACACACACACACACATGCACACACGCACACACACATGCACACACGCACACGCAAACACGAATTATCAGTTATGATCTGCCTGCCTATCTGCCAGCTGCTTTATATGTGTGCTTAGCTTAATTTTTATCATCATGCTATAAGAAATGATCTGATATTCTAATTTGTGATTTAATTAGTACTAAAGAAATAAACAGGTTAAGTAATTTGTTGAATTCAGGAGTTAATAAGTGGAGAAATGGAGCTCCAGTTCTGTTTTTTTTTTTTTTTTTTTATGACCCCGAGTACTATCCCACTAAAGCCATTATGCCTGTGACTTTAGGGAACTCATTAGTTTATAAGCCTGCAAATTGATTCCTGGGTTAAGGACCTTATCTGCAACAAGCCAGGGTTTACGAGCACCGACTGCTCTTCCAGAAATCCTGGGTTCAAATCCCAGCACCCACATGGGAGCTCACAACTGTCTTTAAGTTCAGAATCTGACACCCCCATGCAGACAAAACACTGATGCACATAAAATAATAAAGATAAATATTTTTTAAAAACCCAGTCTTTTGTTACCAGCTATAAGTCTGTGTGTCTAGTGAATCTTGATTTTTAAGTAATTTGTTTAATTGAACATAATATTTTTGAACGTCTACTATTTTGAGTAACTGTTAAGCTCTTGGATAAGGAATTTACTATCTTCATGGGATTGTAATTATTATAGGAGTGCAGTTTAGTAATAGAGTACTTGTTTAGCATGCACAAGGCCTTAGGTATGATGCCTAATACTGTGAAAAGAATTATATTTGTGAAATAAAGAGGAAAACTACAAATATGAAGTTGAATTTGTAATAATTAGATGTTTCCATATGTGATTTGTGGAGATTAATCTCTTCACTTCATTGTGCATGGCATAATTGTTGTTATCTGGTTCTCTTTATAAAAGGGTACATCAAAGGCTACCAAGTCTTTTGGGAACCTGAGGATCTGATATTTCATAAAAAGTCAGGTTGGAAAGAGTGACTGAGAGTTCAGCCTATAGCACATCCAAACTCGTGAGTTGGTTTACCTATGAGCCAGGGAGCATGTTCAATGAGGAGTAGCATGAATCCAAACTTAACATCTCAATAGCTGGGCATTTCACTCAACTAGGGCTCCTCCTGATAGAGAGGACTTGAGATGTTTTGAATGAGGCAACCTTGGCTTGAATGATACAGGACTACTTGAGGTACTCTGTCAACTTTGGAGGAAGTATGTGCAATGAACACTTAACAAGGCTGTTGGGACAAGAAACCGTAGCTGTAATTCAAATAACTTCTTTCAACAAGAGCGTCATGTTTGGGATTCACCGTTTCTGGGTAGTGGGTTACCAGATAGGGTTCTTTCTATTGCTTACTGTTTATCACTATTGATGTACAGTATATGCTCTGTCAAGCTTTCCATTAGCATGCTTGTCACCAAATGTTTGTACAGTTTTAGAACTTTACTCTTTTGAAACTTTAGTGTCTTAGTACTCTTTTAGATAATGTTGGTTTCTAAGTGGCGTGTGAGTTTTCTTCTTAAAGCAGTTTTACTAAGGCTGACTGTGTTCAGAGTTGAACCCCTTTTTTTGTACATCCATTTTATTTGAAACGTCTACAATAAGAGGAGTTTGTGTGTAGGTATATAGCACATTTGTACTATATTTAAATTAGTTTAATATGTCATCTTATAATCCTTTGATGTAATGTTCCCTTGTCTCTACAGTCTAAGTTGTTGGGATTAATTTTTAAAACTGAGGCAAGGATTTTTTGTAAATATGTTATGGTTTTAAAATGGGTAGAAAGAGAGGGACATATGCAAGTGGACAGCAATCATTGTTCATATATCATCTTTGGAATTTATCCTTTATAGAGAGTCATTTAGTTTTCTAGCTAGATATGCAAAAGAAAATATTATACCAGTTCTATGGTTTCTTAAATTCCAACTTGGGGAATATCTGTTTGAAAAGAAAACACTTCTTCTCATGTTTTGTAAGTACTTGAGCTGATTTTAATGTAGTTAGTAGATGGATATAAAATGTCCATCATGCTTTGACTTCACAAGAAGAATTGAAAATACAGTAGGTACCCAGATCTTGACTGTGCTATGTGCTTGTCAGTGTGGAGGAAACTTCTGACCTTTTGATTTCCTAATAAGCAGAGCTCAGAGACGATAAAACTTGACATTCTTAACCAATACTATCATTTGTCCCTGTAGCCCTGTGTCATTTCTTTCTTGTTAATGTTAAAGCCAGCCTTTTAAGGGATCATGGTCTCAAGGTGCTACTGTAACTGTAAATAGCATGCATGTGAGCCTCTTGAGCCTAAGAGATGGAGCGAAGAGAAGATGGAATGTTTTAAGTGGCATGAAAATGAAGTCAAGGGCAAAGACTGCAGTAGAAGGACAAGCACATGCAAATGTCCCCACATTTGCAGTAAGCTTCATCCAGGTGGGCATCTTCATATCTGCCAATACTTCTTTGCTTTTTAAAGCCAAAATCTGATCAGGGCAGCAGCAGCAGCTGCTGCTAGTGGTGTGCATGTGTGTGTCTGTTGTGTAGGAGGTTGGCACTCATGAGATAATACAAATAATCAGTGAGGGAATAATTAATGATGTGGCAGGGAATATTTTTGATAAATGCTTAGGGAATGAGGTGACAAGCGTGAAATTAGAAAATTCCTTCAGCGATCTGAAATATAAATAGCTTTCGGAACTGAAAAGAGTTTCTCAGCTGAAGATTTTATTGTGTTGAGAGGAAAAACTTTTTTCTCTTCCCCCCTCCCTTCCTCCTTTGCAAGTTGTTTGTCCATTCACAAAACAAATACTCTGAAGCCCAGCGCAGCTCATGGGAATAAATTTCAGGTCGAATTAGTACAGTTTCCTTGCTGTCAGGATGCTGGAATTAATGGTGTTTTGATGACACGAATTTTGAAGGGCCAACAAAGAAGCTGAAGGGAGAGAGACATGACTCCTTAGAAGCCCAGTCCTCCTCTCCCCCAGCCTCTCTTGTCTTCCCTGTCATCCGTCTGCCAATCTCCCTGTCCATGGTTAGTTAAAGGCGCTTTTTATCCTCTTTTCTTTCCCACAGAGTTTGCCAGATCCGGCCCGGTGCCTGGGTTCCAGGAGGACACGCTGCAGTTGGCCTTCATCGACTTGAGACAAGTAAGTCTTTGTGTTTTTGTTTTTTGTTTTTCTTTTAAGATGTGTGACTGAAGACCATCAGGTCTTAAGGAAAAGGGGAGGGGAGGGGTTTTGGCATTGGTGATTCACACTAGAGACCTAAGGGCTTTTCCCTGTGTTTGAGGCCACCTCTTTTATTTAGCTATCTGAGATCCTTAGCTATGGTGGAGTAAAGGTTTTGTGGGTAGAAGAGAAGACAGGGGGTGGGAAGAGGGATCCACAAAGTAGAGGGACTCAAGTGACCCTCAAGTGATGCGATCCATTGTGTGGCCATTGACTTCTGCAGACACAGCGAAAAGATGACTCGTCAAACCCATGCTAAGCAGGTGCACTGATGCAGAGACGGCCCGCCTAGAGAACTTTGCGTCTGGATAATGTGGCCAGCAGTGTCAAAGGAAAATGAAATGTTTTCCTTTCTGGGTTGTTAGTCCAGTTTGTTGACTTTTTCCTGCTGCCTCGTACCTTCTATTGCCTTCTGTGTAAAATATGGTCAGCCATCAGCAACAGAGGGGTGGTGCTTGAAGATGGTTTGCAAAGGTCCCGACCAGTCATGCTAGCCCGATAGGAAGTCCTGTTGCAGTATCACAATGAAGGCCAGTGCTTAGGTCTACCTGAGCTCTGGCAAGCCCACAAGATAGAAATGCTACCCTAGGGCTGTTCTTGCAGACTAGAAAGTGGTGTTTTGGGTATAGTAGAAAAAGATGGGTGGGGGCTAAAAGGGAGAGCTGTAACTGTGCTCTGTCATCTCTTCACTCTGAAGATGGATGGGGTTGGATAGAAAGTGCGAATGAAGTAAGCATCAATGACTGATGCTTCTCTCCTATTAAAACAATCTTTTTTTTTTTTTTTGGTCTGTTTTAGAAGGTGGGGGCTGGCTTTGTTTCTCCTGCCATAATGATGCAGTGCCTCTTGTTTTCAGAGCTGACATAGTTTGCATTCTGAAAACTTGTAGATGCCCAGAGTGTTTCTTAAAGCTGTAGGACCCCTTGTCTGGGTATCCTCCTTACCACTGTGACTGGATTCCTGCCGGAATAGCTTTTAACCCGTAATGGATGGCCTGAGCTAGCCCTGGACCCTTGTGGATGGGCAGTGTAATCTGTCATCAATGACAATTCCGGAAAGCCCTGTTCAGCAGAATCATGTGTCTATAGACCCGACAAGGTTTGAGGATTCAGACCACGTCCCAGAAACGTGTGTCAACTTAATATTTGGGGGTTGGGTTGGGGCTTCTCTTTTTTATAAGGCTTTCCTAACATTGTCAGAAATGGAGCTGTCTCCCTCCACATTGAACACCTTCCACCTATAGGTTTGATGTGCCCAAATTTTAGCCTTTGATCTAAGATGGAAAGATTGAGATTTTGCTGTAGGGTTCAGTGGGGAATCCATTCCTTTCCTTTCCAATTTGTTCTCTGAAACTTATAAGCCAGTTCAAGCAATGTTCATTGGAAGAACATATGCAATATACAAGAAAAAGTTTTTCCTTTTTCACTGTTGATGCAAAGGAAATGTCACTCTCACTAGTTTGTGGTTTTGGCACCTATGGAAAGCAACTAATGTTGACAGGAAATGGGATCTTAGGGGTAAATGGGAAAGCGCATCGGGGTGAGGTGGGCCTGAGCCAGGGGTGAATTTAACTGATAATGACCAACTGTGTCTCTTCCTATTCAGTGTGTCATCTAAATTCTACTTATATCTTTCTCTGTTTCCATTCCTTTTAGCAGTAAAAGGAATGGAAAGGAATAATTTCCAACGTAGATGATTTGAACAACGTCCTTAGTTTAAGGTTGTGTTAGCAGATAGGTGACATACCACAAAATGATCCTTTCACATCCTGCTCTGAAAACAGCTCCTTCTTCTCATTCATCTAGGCCATGCTCAGATATTCAGACTTCCAGGAGAATTACTGTTTGTTTGTTACTAATGCCGACTTAAACATTTGAGTGTCCTGTTGTTTGAACTCCTCACAATCACAAAGCTGAGTTTTAAATTGGGGGAGGGGAGCCGAGACTAGCCTTAAAATTGTATAGTAAGAACTTGGCATATTTCTTCCGTCTTTGCAAAACACCCAACCCAGACAAAGTGTTGTGACCCCCTCGGAGAAAACTTCCCAAAGCACACAGTTCGCCTCAGGCAGTCTCATTACATGAACATGGCCATAGCCTGTCTCGGTGACAGCACTTGGAATTTGTGTTCATTGTCTACTTGTTTTAGAAGTGGTGGCTTTGACTTTCTGTCCTTTATGCTGCCAGGTGTCCCCTTTACTGATGCTGGTGTCTTTTCTCCACACATTGAGGCCTCCTACCTGGCCTTTAGGTGATTGATGGTTTCATGGACTAAACTTGAAAGTGGGGCTTTTCCTAGTCCTGTTCTTCTTTCAAATGTGTCAACTCAAAGATCCTAGCATTCTCACAGCTGTCTAAACCTTTTTAGGTTCTAATTTCATTATTTAGCTTATTAACAGATTTAACCATTAGGCTTTCACAAGTCAGAGATCAAAACAGAAAATGGAATTAGCAGGGACTAGGACAATGGCTCAGCAGGTTAAGCATTTGCTATGAAACCTGCCTGAGTTTGCTTTCTGGAATCTAAAGGTGGAAGGAGAGAACTAATTTGACTTCACAAAGTAATTCTCTGACCGCCATGGTAGTAAGTACATACCCACTACACACACACACACACACACACACACACACACACACACACACACTAATAATAGTAAACAAAAAAAAATGTAAAATGGTAATAGAAACACCAGAAGTGAAAATTAAAGAAAATGTTGTGTGGCTTTTCCTGATTAAATATGTGTTTTCCTAAGATAAAACACAGAACAGCTCCCCTCCCCCAACAAAACAATTCCACCCAGGTCTAGCTGGAATTACTTACAAGGGAGTGAATAAGGAGTTGGTAACAGGGACCTTGGGCAACTTACAGCAGCTAAGCCAAGTTGCCCCCGCCCCAGCAATTGTTAAGTGTTCATGTACCTTCAGAGAGGAAAATCATAAGCCCTCCTCCACTTCTGAGAGGACTGTACAAGGGCCTAATCTTATGAGGGTTTCCTGTGGCAGGCACATGTAACAGTGCTATGATTTTAAGATGGTGGTAGTCATGTCAGGTAACAACTGTGCCTGGCCAAGCAGAGTTCCATAAAAGACAGAATGTAGGGTGTATGCCCATGTGAGCAGGGGTCTGTCCTGGGATGCTTTAGGGTTCATGCTCTCCCAATACCACTCAGATACTAGCTGTTTGCCTCTCTGGTTTCTAAGTCTGTCGTGCTGATCATGTGCTCACATTCTCTTTTATTAGACTCTCAGATGCAATTAGGTGAGTGATAATTTAAAACATTCAAAACGTGGGCATTGATGAAAAAGTCTATATAGTATATAATGACAGAGTATCATTTAAAAGCTCTGCAATTTCATTAGAAAGAAAAATAGATGTGGATCATAAAGCTATTCATCCTTTTTCACTTACCATATTTCCAGTTTTCTACTTCTTAAGGTAAAAAGTGAAATGAAATTTTTAATATACAAGCTTTCATGATATTTCAGAGTTAAAATACATTGACATACACTTTTCATTTGTTAAGATTCTAGGATTAGAAAATCTGATATTAATAATAATGAACTATACAGTACAAATGTAAAAGTCTTTAGCATTTTATATTTATGTTATAAAAGTTTAGTTTAAGTACAGTTTTCATGCAAAAATGTGTGTATATTTCAGCTACCAAGCTTTGGTAATGTTAAAGTTTGAGAACAAAATAAACCTTCATTTAATGAAATATTTTAATGTGATATCTATACTCATGGAATTGGTAGCCTCTAGTTATTAATCTTTAGAAATTAATAGAGGGCCAGTAGTAGATTCTTAATGGCTTTTTACTTTTTAATAGTTCTGTGGCAAAACATGAAGTAAAAATACTGTGGAACACCAGCACCGGATTTTCATTTCAGTTCATTTCATTAATCTCTGAGTGCCCTCTGTGCTTAAGTGATGCATAGCAAGTACACATAGAGTGTGACTGTGACTTCTCCCAAAGGGGCAAATGGTGATCACCAAGTCATTGATTCCAATACGGCCATGCTGTGATAAGTATTGTCTTAGAGACATTAGAATATTGTATGCATTTCAGTCATTTGACTCCCATAACACACATAACCATGTGTGGAGCTCAGGATGCTTCTAGTCAGCAATTCTGGGTAGTTGAGCAACTCTCTGTACTCACTCAGCTGCTACATTGAAAAGATTAACCAGTCTAGAGGCTCTCAGTGTCTATGGCCATGTGATGTTTCATGTGCAGGCAGCCTGTTCTAGACCTACTCACAGCATTTGGCAAAGGTTCCAAGAGGTGGACAAATCGAGATCTGTGCTCAGAACCAGTAGATTGTCATTTCTATTACATCCTACTGTCTTCATCTAGTCTCAAGGTCAGTTCACATTGAAGAAATCCGGACATAGATTGCACCTCATAGTCTAGCTGGAATGGAATACTCATGTATGAAAAGTATAAATCAGGGCCAGGGGTTCAATGTAGGCACAAAGAGCTGTAAAATATTCATAAGAAGAGTTAAAGTAGAAGAAAATTAGACTCTCTCTCTCTCTCTCTGTGTGTGTGTGTGTGTGTGTGTGTGTGTGTGTGTGTTCCTGCGTGTGTGTAGTAAGTATTGGTATTTTGACTTACATGTAGACTCTATTCCTTTTGGATATTAGGAATTTCTTTAACTCTTATCCCCTAAGTTTTCTTACTTTGTCTTTATTGTCTGCTGTTTCCCTGAGAATCTCTTATTAATTTCCTGTTTATCCTCCTCCTTCAGTGGTATAAATTGTGCCACCCTAAACTACTTGATACTGATGTTATGTTATTTATATTCACTGAAAGGGCAGCTAACTCCCCAAAGAAATGTTTGCTTTATTTACAGTGCTCACCTTCCATGTCTGACCAACAGCAGTTTGAGATGTTCTTTCCTTGATAATAGTTACCT